AGCAGCAGATGCAGATCTTCCTAATCTATTGCTCTTTCTCTACCGCAGATTTTATCTGGGTGTATGTGTTTGATGCCAGAATAAACATGGCTTATTGCTATCACCAGCAGAGCTACAATTTGTAAGCCGCCCAGAGTCACCCTCTGGGGGAGATGGGCGGCATGTCCATGTAATAATGAATAAATAAATAATAAATAACATTCTGGAATCTTTGGGAGGAGGATTATTTTAGGTCATCCCGAAAAGGATCTAAAGAGAAGGAAGCCGACAGGAACTAGATGTCTGGATTAGCAGAGGCAGACTCCTAGATACAGTTGTTCTTTTCCACTCTTTAGAGCCTCAATGGCAAACGTCCGTGCTGTTATCACAATGCAAATAGATAAAGACAGAGAGAAATAGCATGAGCAAATCAGCAGGATACTGAGCTCCTATTACCAAAGCAAACAACAATTCTGAGATGAACAGTTTTCTATGCTCCGAGAGACTTTTGACCAAGTCATATTCTCTGTTATGGCAAATAATTCTTTGTTCCCTTGGCTTGGCCTCCAGTTCTCCTTTTCCTTTTTAAAAGGAATAATTCCCTCTCCCCCCTTCCTTCCTTCCTTCCTTCCTTCCTTCCTTGTACATTTTCTCTCCAGTGCCATCAAAGTAGTTGAGCAGAACTGCAGGCATAGGGTGTGAGTCAGTCTGATTCAGCGGTTCTGCTAAGTGACCAGGCAGAATTTCAGTCTTCTCTAGAGGGTGCTCCTGTGTTTATGTCTGAACATCACATCTTAGCTGGGACGTCAAGCTGCTGCCCGTAGGATGAGCTCAAATCCCTGCTCTGTAGGAAAACTTATTGCTGCATTTGGCTAATGCAGTCTTTCTCCACCTTGGCAACTTTAAGTCGTGTGGACTTCTACTCCCAGAATTCCCCAGTCAGCCAGGCTGGCTCGGGAATTCTGGGAGTTGAGTCCACACGTCTTAAAGTTGCCGAGGTGGAGAAACGCTGAGCTAATGACTATTCTTCCATCTACCTCATAGGATGGTGATGCTCAAGGTCTCCCCAATCTTTCCTGTTGGAATACAACAAAAGGGATCCAAACTGAGCCCAAACATTTTGCTCTTTGAGTGAAAGAACAAGATGGCACTTCCTCTTATTCCATGTACAAAACCAATTTGGCTGGTGGTTGAATCTTTCCTCTGGGTGGAGGTGGGACATTGTCCTTCACTTCACTTAGATAGGTTAGAAGATACAGGGAAGACCACATCACATACAGTTGTTTCCTCCCAAGCTTTGCTCCTACTTTCCAACCTCTGCCTCCTGAAAGACCCATCAGCCTCTACCTATTTTTAGGGCCAGCTTTGCAAGAAAAGGAAATTGCCTCAAGTGGGTCCGAGTGGGAAAAATAATGCTGGCCTAACTGAACCCTTGGCTTGGATCTGGTTTTGAAGAAAGGGTAAGAAATTCAGTGCTGCACCTTGGGTGACTGGAGCCTTACGATTAGCCGTTCAGCTGCCACGGTTGGGCTCTTTGAAAGAGTTGGTGAGCTTCATGGAAGTTGGGGCTTAGGATAAGCCAGTGTTTATGCACATGGATAATTTCTGTAGGCTAACCCTGGTAATGTGCAAGGAGATGGGGTTTAATATGAGCTAGTAACTTTATGGCCATATTTGCAAGGCTGAGCTACCTTCTTCTTCACCTAAACCATCCAGTCTTGATGCTTCTTAGTAATAGCCACCTGTCAGCAACTGAAATCCGCAAAATGCACAGAAAAGAAAGAAAGGGAGAATCTAACAGTTGTCCAGGGCTTAAGGCTAAGTGAGCTGAGATGGTTTATGCCAACATGGTGGTGAGAGAACCAGCAGTCAAATTACTTTGTCCAAACACATGGTTCTTTTACTGCATGCCTTGTAAACAGCAATCCCTCGTCGATCTTTTCCGGGGACATTGCCAAGTTTGAAAAGATGGATGAAGATAATAAAATCTCTCTAAAATGAGCCTACTATCATGCCCGTGGGCAAGGGAAGAACAAGCAGTGGAGAATGGGATGCAATGTTAAAAATGCTCACTGTCCCTTTGCAGGCATCCTTTATATTTTCTAGCAAGCCTCCCCCGAACCATCCTACCTCACCCTCTTAAATCTGTGTGCGGAGGACTTCTCAAAATTCTCCAGCCTTCCATGAGCAAGTGGATTAAACCATCTGACTGAAGTTCCTCAAAGGGAGGATAAATTCTCCAAGTGTCTCTCACGGGTGGGGCTTGCCATCAGCAGTAGAAACATGTCTTTATTTATTTATACTCCCAGTCCAATAAAACAAAATTTAAAATGCAGGAAAACCAAAGCTGAAACAATTCATAACAAAAAGAAGGCCTCTCCTGATTTCTGCAGCTAGAAACTTGACCACCTTTATAACTGGGTCTTGCAGAAGGAAGATTGGATCTCTTGATCAGAAAGACAGCTAAAATTTCTGGCAATTGGGTTAAGAAATGCTAGACACCATGGATGATACATTCCAAGTCAATCTCTGCATTTGATAATACACACATACGGTTATTGTATGGAAAACCAACTTCCTTAGGGTTTTGCTATTTTTGTATCCCACCACTAAAAGGGTGTGTGGCACAGCAGTTCTGACCACCATTTTGCCTCAGCCCTAAGGTCTTGGGTAAGAGAAGGGGAAAAAGCAAGGATTGCCCACAAAATACTTTCTCATGATAAGGATGTTTCCTTGTCATGGCTTGCAAAGCCCTCTATTCAGTTTAGCTCCATTTTCAAGAATGCGGGACTTCAGAGCTGTTGTCATCCCTGAGGAGTTATGTGGGATCATGATGCTTTTCGGGGGGGGGGCATGTGCTGTTCACCCCTTCTTACATGGTGTACCATGGTCTTACTTGGGGACTGAGCTTCAAAATACAATTGTATTCTGTATCCATTCAAAGCCAGTGAAGGTGCTGGACTAGAAACCTGGAGCTGGTGAGTTCTGGTCCTCCCTTGGGCATGAAAGCCAGCTGGGGGACCGTGGGCCATTCATTCTCTCTCTGCTGTGGTGAAAATAGGGAAGGGAGCATTGTGTATGATATCTTGAGCTACATAAAATAACAGTAGGATATAAACCTAATAAATGAGCAGGGCTTATGAGTGTAAGAGGCAGCAAAAATTAGTCTTTGCATGAAGTCACCCCAAATCTGGAATGGGTCTGAACTTTAGTGGAGGGAAATGTACTAAAACTTAATCCCATTTCGATGACATGAGATTGTACCAAAAATGTATGTGCGGGGTTTTGGAGGAGGTTTGATTATGATGGGACAATTTCCCCCCCTCCTATTAGTCCTCATTTAATTTGATGAAAGAGAAGTTGCTTTCAAAATTCTTTGAAAGAAGATAATTTTGGATAATTTCTTGTGGGTCATGGACAGTGTTGTTCTTGGACTTCTTTCCTGATGAGGGGGCCAAAGATTGCATGAGAAAGTCCTGTCTTTCACTGTGCTGTCCTTTCTTCTGAAGTCGCAGCTGCCTTCCCATGCTTTCATTCAAAGCCTTGAACTCTTTTATTTTTCAGTAATGGTGCTCAGCCTTGAGAAGTGGTTATATAATTTCTCCTTCCTCTGGAGAAATGTGCAGAAATAGTCCATTCATTGTCTTTGCCTTCAGAATTGGGAGGGAATTTGAAGCAGCCATCTATGTCTAGCTATTATCTGAAGGGAGTCATCTACAACATGAAAAGGAAAAAAGCGGGTAAAAATAAGGCAAAAATGCCTCTACCTTCTGCCAGATCATTTCAAACTTTTTCTCTCTGTTTGAAAGCTTCCCAGTTTTTCAACTGTCTTTTCCCAAAACTACAGAAAAAACTCTGCTTGTTATGAATTATGAATTTTGCAGAGGAGGGGCTTTTTTCACACAACACCATTGTAGGCTACAGCGCTGGACAACAGTGAGGTAGCTAATATATATATAAAGTAGCTAGATAAATAACATTTTAGCCTCCACATCCCAATCCAGAAAGGTGGAAGTATAAAGAAAGAAACAATTTAAGGGACACCAAAAGCTACACAAGGTAGAAAGATGTGTTCGGAAAAGCCAGAGAAGAGAGAAACAGTCCAGAGTTTTGCAATTTTCCATGAGTCCACAATAGACCCTGGGAATGGAAAAAACTGGTATGGATATTTGTTCAAAGGATAAACATCTCCATGTTTGCTCAGGCTGCAGTCTCCATCTTTACAGAACTTGTGTGTTTTGCAAGAATAGTAATGATGATGATAATGATGATAATAACAATAATATAATCAGTGCACTCTTCAGGGGTCAGCCAATATTAAAAGCTCTGCATACCTTGCCTGCTTGCAAAGGATAACACAGAGAAAATAGATTGAAGGAGAATAGCAGATTTGGTAGATTAAAGGAGGCACAAGAAGAGTAACCGATGCTCCACTTCATTCACTGAGCTGCTACAGCAGTGTTTCTCAAACTTGGTGACTTTAAGACGTGTGGACTTCAACTCCCAGAATTCCCTAGCCAGCCATGCTGGCTGGAGAATTCAGGGAATTGAAGTCCACATATCTTAAAGTTGCTAAGGTTGAGAAACACTGCTCTACCATCTTCAGTTTAACCAGTGCTCCTGCACCCCCTTGAGGAGGAAAATGTCCATGCAATGCATTTTGTTCAAAGTCTTGCTTGAGGTGACAAATAACAAGAGGCCCCAGGTTAACCCATCTTCGATAATGTCATGTCTTCCTATGTTTTCAAAAGAAAAGTTTGTGAGGAATATATGGGAGCAGGTTTCTTCTCCCTTCTTCCTGGAACCACAGAATGCCTCTTTATGTGTCTTTTCTCCCCACAGGTGAAAAACCTCCAGCATGACTGAAAACTTTGAAAACCGGAACACCTACATTTCGGTCTACCTGCTCACCATCCTAATTGGCTTTCCCACCAACCTGTTGGCTCTCTGTGCTCTCATCCAGAAGATTAGGAACAAGGCCACACCCAACTCCGTCCTTCTCCTCAATCTGACCATTTCTGATCTCTGCTTCCTGGTTTTCCTCCTCTTCAAGATTGCAGAGCAGATTGCTGGCCGCTGGGTCTTTCCCACTTTCCTGTGCCCCTTTACTGGTCTTGTCTACTTCAGCACCATCTATTCTAGCACGCTCTTCCTCACTGCGGTGAGTGTGGAGCGCTATCTGGGTGTAGCTTATCCCATCCATTACAAGCTGAGGCGCCATTCAACCTATGCCCTAATTGCCAGCCTGGGCCTTTGGATCTGTTCTTTTGGCCACTGCAGCATTGTGTATGTCACTGAGTTTAAGCGGGACAATTATTCCATACCAAATGAGCCCTCCACTGACATCTGTTATGACAATTTCACTGAGGCGCAGCTCGAGACCCTGCTCCCTGTCCGCCTGGAGCTCAGCATCGTTCTCTTCCTGGTGCCATCCCTGATCACCTGCTTCTGCTATTTTGGCTTTATGAGAATAGTGATCTCTTCACCCCACATCCACAGGAGCAAAAAACAACGAGCTGTGGGGCTGGTAGCAGCCACTTTAGCTGTCTTTATCATCTGTTTTACACCCTACAACATCTCCCATGTGGTTGGTTTTATTGAGTGGAGGAGTCCAGACTGGCGGAGCAAAGCCTTACTTCCCAGCACCTTCAATGCCAGCCTGGACCCCATTATCTTTTATTTTTCTTCTTCTGCTGTGCAGCGTTCATGCTGGAATTTCCTGACCAGGATAGAACGAATCTGCATGTTGCCTTCTTTGATCCGTAAGCTATTCTTCAGAGGGACTGAGAAGCTAGGGAGAGCAGGCCCTCAGGAGCAGGTATGCTCTTCCTGGCTATGACCTCCCATTTCTTGGAAGCTTCTTAAATCCTTCTCTGTAGGCCAAGTGGTCTATGCAAAATTTGTTCTGGGGATTACTGACATTTCCAGCCAGGCCTCCAGACTTGAAATTTCCATGTTGTGCATGTTGTTAACTGTTAATTTTGGCAGCCTTGGGATAGGTTGAGGAATCTCACCCAGCCTTCTCATCTGTTGGTTCTTGACACTTAGAAACAGCATTGGGCAAATGTTGCCCCATAGACTGATTGAAAATGGGTTTCATTAAAGAAAAAAAATAAAATGGTGAAATATGTTGAGTGCTTCAAATGTGCATACTCAAGTATCCCAAGTCTAATGGCCAATTTAATTTTGGAGTTGTTTCATTCTGTCATTTGGGTCTTCCTGGTATCCAGGAGATTTTCCTTCCCTCCTTTTCATCTTCATCTAAGTGGAGATATATATAATTTGCAAAAGAGCTTTTATTTGGGCTGAGATATTGTTGTGATTCTCATGGCAGTATCCAACGAATTGAGAATCCTGGGAAATGTAGTTTCTATGGACCCTGATGCCTGGACGTTACTACACAAGACAGTAGCATCATCTAGGAACTAGAGGAGGTTCTTGTATGAGACGTCCTAGTTGCTGTGGCTGGTAGATACTTTTGAAAAACAAAAGGGTGTATGCGGCAAGAATGTCAGAGGAAAAGAACATTTTTGAAATAACAATTAAAATAGGCTGTTATATATAAATAAGATGTCGAATTATTTAGATTCACATTAACAGAGTTGATTTTTTAAAAAAAAGTCTGCATCAGAAGTCATATAATTCTGTGACTATTTAAGAAACTCTCTGAAGTCGTTTTGCTGTTTGGATGATCTCAGATGGTTTGTCATTGGAAAAAACAAAAGGGAGACTGTAAACTCAATAATATAAGGATTACTAGAAATGAACAAATAAATTAAAAATTCTGAGAAATTTCAGAAATAGAGGCTACCAGGAGTTCCATGCCACTGAGTAAGGGCAGGGTTTGTGCTATTATAGCTCAGATCCAGATCCAGATCCAGATCCACAACCATACACCATGTTTTGTATTAGAGGAAAAAATTCTGTTTGCCCCAGTGAAAGCTTTCCTCGGTGAAAATTCCCAGGGACAGGGGAGGGGAAAATGCAGCTTTAATCCACAATAAAGGAAAAAAAGGTACCCCTCCCAACCAGAATATGAGGTTCCCATATTCTGCCTCCCCACTCATTTGCACAACAGCTAATTATACAAATAGTGTTATGCCTACTTAACCAGTGTATAGAGGGAGGACGTGTCGTGTTTGAGTTCCTTTCCCTGTAAACGCATGTTTAACCTCATCATGCCTGGAAGTTGTGCAATGTGGTTTGAAGCACAGCTAATGAATGGGAGAAGGTTTTCCTCACAAACCAATAGGGAAAACTGTGACCGGGTTGGTTTTTCAAACTTTGCAGGCTGGAGGCCTTGCTGAGCAAAAAGGAAAGAACACCTTATAAGACTGGAGGAGGACAGAAGTAGAAAACAGGAGCCCCAGCCATGCTTTTCCCCCATGTCTCCAAGGCTGTTCCGATCTGTAGCTTGGAAAGTGCAAAGTATCTGAGGGAGCAAGTGGACTCTCACATTAATTTTCCAGCAAAAAGCATATCGTAGATCATACTTGCTAGATGGGAGCAGGGACAAAGCAGAAATAAATACTCATGCTATTCTTTCCCCACTGGCTGACTGCTCAGTGGAGTTTTTGAGAGGAGTGGGAGCGAGCTGTCTGGTGTGCAGTTGGAATGACGGGTCTCTTTTTATTGGGGTCAAATTGCATTTTTGTTTCCATGGATTATCACTCTCCCAGGACACCAGTAGTGCTGTTTGGCTGCTCCAGAAGGAGGGTCTTCTTGCTCTCCAGCCATGCCCACAACATATTTTGGAGGGTGGTGGTCTTCCCTGCCAGGAAATGATGCTGGGAGGGAGGAGAATCCCTGTCTTGAAACTGCCCTGCATTAATGCTGTCAGATGCATTGCTGGAATACAATAAAAATCAGCTGTGGGAACAGCATGATTTCTGTCACATGCTTTTCTGCTGATTCAAGCATGGGAGGAATGTATGCTTTTATATATATATATATA